AAAAACTTTCTAACTAGCGACAGTAAGTATTACTAAAAAATTAAAACCTTAGTCGCGAACTGGATGTAATTGGGTCTTCTGGTTGTTCAGGACTACTTCGTTCCTTTTTCGGTAATGAGTAATATGAGGGCCTTCTGGTGGTTCTTGCTGTCGTTGTCTGAGTATCGTTGATATTGGGAGGTCTGAATCGGTGGATTTCTTTGTTTGCTGGTGCCTGAATCAAAATATAAGTTGATATTTAGCTTTTCGAGCTTTTGCCTCGCAAACGTTCTGAGTAATCCTATCATTTCAACATTTTCAAAAAGTAACCGTTGTGGGAAGGGATGTTATTCCTTTGTCACCCAACGCGCCGGTTTGTAGACGGTTTTCTAACTGCTTAAGTCTTTCTAATGGATCAGCAAATCTGTTCTTAAGTTCTTCAAATGTTGGTTTTGGTTCTTCTTGTTTGGGAGGCTTAAAAAGTAATTTTATCACCGGCAAGACAGTACAGCATTTGAAAAATAAACAGAAATGTAGCTTCTTGAAACTTACAACATCATGACGCAAACTTTTTTCAATACTGGTAAGTTCCTTCTTAGAATCTCTACCGTCCGTCTTCCTTGTTTTTGGAGGTTTAATAGGTGAAGATTCGTTGTATTCCTCAGCTTCGATCCTACGCCTCCGAAACTCTTCAATTTTCTTTCTGAAATACCAATTTAAAAAAAACTTTACCGGTTATTTGTTTTGAGTTTACAGCAAGAATACAGATGAAATAATTATGTATTACAGAAAATAATGTTGAGAAGCCACAGCAAAGAAATTATTTAAACTGTTTTTATCCACTGGCTGCTTGTTTCAAAGCGGTTACTGAAACGACTTAGGCCTTAGTTATGCAGATCCATTTACCTTGTATTGGCACTTAAGTGGCCGAAGTCCATAAAAACGTCGGTTTCGTCAGCAAGGTCTTGTACAACCATAGTTTCTGCTCGTTCTGTTAGTGGTGTGTGATCAATAATCTACAAAAATATCTCCTACCGTCTTTCAATAGAAGAATAGATAGAATTGCAGTATTAAACTCTCCTAACACGGTTCTCTACACTTCAGACTACTTCAATACTGCTATCAATACAAATGCTAAATAAATTAGGATCTATTACTTGATTTTCTGGCAGTTCCTGTATTACAGGCATATTCTCTTCCAGGTTAAGCCACCAATGGCTTGCAATATCATCAATATCAGCTCTTCGTTCAGGATTCACACGCAACATATTTCGTATTAACATGGATGCTGCTATAATTGAATAACGGAACTTGTCTAACTTACGGTCGTTTCAGGTAGTAAAAAGATAAATACGCTTAAGCACACTTCCCAAAGAACAGCTAGAAAACTGCTTACTTGATGGTGTATCCGGTTCAAAATAAGCCCCTCTTTTGATTTGCCTAACCATTCTATTAAAATCTCTACCATCAAATGGCATAGACCCGTAAACAAGAGTGTACAAAAGTATACCAAGACTCCAGCAGTCAACCTGAACAATGTTAACTTTCTTCCCAAATTTTTTTTTGTTAGGTATTAAAGAAGCGAGACAATAAATTGAAAAATCAAAGAAGAAGTTTACCTCAGGTCCCCGATACGGCGTACCATTAATAATTTCTGGTGATGCGTATAGCGGACTGCCACAAAACGTGGAGAGTAAACTTTTATCAGAAAAATAATTCGAAAGACCAAAATCAGCAATTTTGGCATTGTTATCTGCATCAAGCAATATATTTTCCAATTTTAAATCTCGATGAGCAACTTTATGCTGAAATAATTTTGAATGTCTATTATTCTGAAATACAGTATAATAAAGTTAGAAAGTTGTTTTTTCGAAATATCATGCTTTTAAAGACACGTAGATGCATAATCTTAAATTTAAAAAACCCAATTTATTTGAAGTCACTCTGAAGAACAGAAACGGTAATTAAGTTGAGAAAAAAATAGATTGTTGAAAATCAACCTTATGACAATATAGTACAGCTGAGGTAATTTGGCGAAAAATTCTCCTGGCTTCGGCTTCAGGTAGTGACCCATATGTGCTGACGTAGTCGTAAAGTTCTCCGCCACTTGCGTACTCCATCACCAATATAATTTTGTCTTTGTTTTCAAAAACTAAAATAGTTGAGGAAAATTAATTTTTTAACTCTTTCACTTGATTAAAAAATATACTCTTCGCGATTTCTCTTGTTTTCAGAGCTGGAATTGTTTAAAATGTAAATCTGTGTTGATACCGATGAACTTGAAGATGGCGTAACCCAAAATAAAGAACGCACAAGTTACCTTCATATATTTGAATGATATTGGGATGCTTTAACGCTGACATTATGCGAATTTCACGACGTATCCTCACGAGATCTTGTTTATTCTCGATGGCACTTTTTCTGATCAATTTTACGGCTACCTATAAACAAACCCAAACAGTCTGTGAAACAGTTTCAACAAATGATCATTTATTTAGTAAAATTTGATTAACTTTTTCCCTGTAACAAATCAAAGACCAAACTACCAAAAGTTGATAACAGCTGTTGGGCAAAGCAATTGACTGTATGCGGTGGGCTTACTTCTCTTTCTGTTTTGTGATCATAGGCGAGCGATACTTTGCCGTAGGTACCTGAACCTAATTTTTTAATGATTTCGAACCGATGCTTAATATCACCTCTCCCTGAACTGCTTCCCGGTGCTGGTCCGTTTAAAGGCTGGCCACCTAAAACTGAGACTTATATAAGAAAGATTTTCTTGCTAACTGTCAGTTCCTGAAACTGTTTACTTTATAATTACCAGTTCCAACAACTTTTTTTCTTCTGTTTTAAATTGAATAATTATTCGTCATTCAGTTATGTTTTCCGCATCTGTGTTCTGTTCTTCCGTTTTTTTTGTCATGTGGCAGTTCAAATTTCAATCACTTAGCAATGAAAAAACTAAAGAAGAAAAAACATTAAAAATTGCTTGCAAGAGCTTTTTTGTTTGTTGTAACTTAAAGACGATACGATTGCGTCATCAGAACATTTGTTGCCTCATTTATAAAACAATTCGTCAGTATTTTCTGCTATTTCATTTATTTACTTTTCTCGTTTAACTGAAAAGGAAAAAAAGCTCTCTTTTCCCTTTCCAAGTTTGAAACATTTTGAACCTTTTTTATAGTCAAAACTGTTAGGCAGTTTTCTGGCACGGTGGCCACCAGATTGTTACGCTAACTATTCAGCAAGAAAAGCCGAAGAGAGCAAGAACCCTGTTGTATTTTTAGAAACAGTTTTTTATGTAGATTAACTTACAAACTCGAATGATGCTCTATTACCACAATGTTTGGAAGGAGAAGCAGCAATGAAAACAAATCTTCAATTTTCTAACTCAGTTAGAAAAAAAAAAAGAAGATTTCTACGTTACAAAAAATTTGTGAAAAAGGACTGTAAAATTTTTGATAAAATAACACAAATAGTCTTTCAACAATCCGCAATAGAAAAATGGCGAAATTCATAGCTGAAAAAGTGATTGCGTTTACATAATGAAATTTTAGAAGCAGCTTTACAGTAAAACGGATATGAACAAATCAGTTCAATACGTTGTTAGCTGACTGAACGTTATTTGCAGTAACTTTGAACTAAAAAAATACCAGACTTTTTTTCTCAGTAAAATTTTTGCACTATTCATTTTGTTAATACTATGAGTACTCAAAAATCAGCTTTCTTCACTTTTTTCTTCTGTTTCATTCTTTCTTTTCTTTTGTCAACAAAAAATCCTCGGTACTCACCAAGCTGCGATCCACTTGTTGCACTGCTGCTACCATACTGGTTGTTCAGCAATTTAGAGGTGCTAAATTTGGCAGATCGCGAATTGCGGCTAGCAGCTCGAGAGCCGCCAGCAACCCCGATCGTCATGTCGCCCCGACGAAACAAGGGCGACAGTATCGCCTGGAACTGCATTGTCAGTAAGTAACAGTTGACTGACTAATCACATAAAAAAGAAAAAGAATCATGTTTGAAAAAAACTAAACTGGAAAAAGTAAAACTGTTCCCTATGACAACAACGGTAACAAAAAGATGAGGTAGGTGATAAAAAGCTTAAAGAATATTGCTGTCATAACCTTCCGTGTAAGGAAAGATGACAAACAAAAAAGTACTCTTCTGTCAACTTATTTCAGAAGAATAAAAGAAGAAAAAACAGTATTGAATAAAGAAAGAGAAAAAAGTTTACAAGAAGAATGACGTTTCTACCAATGTAAAAAGCTAAACATTGGAAGAAAAAGTGAATGATCAACCAAATAAGCTCATCTATCTGCCCTTAAACTGCCGATGTTGTTATTGGAGAACAAAAGGTGCGGCATAATCGTTGAAGAGCAAAATACATCATTGATTCAAAAGAGCTGTTGAATCAGAGGAAGATGAAAATAATAATGACGATGATGACGATGATGACGGTGATAGTGGTGGTGCTTGCTAAAGATTTTGGCGATGAGATGGTGAAAACTTGGAAATGAAAAGAAATGAAGAAAAAATAGTAGAACTGTTCAAAAAGTATTTGGAAAAAAATTTCTAACTTTCAAATAATTATAATGTTGAAACTTATCCGTCAAAAAATCAGATTTTTTCTCTTAGAAGAAGAAAAACTGTAGTTTGGAAGTCCGTCGGCTCCGCGTCCCCAATTCATTTCGCAAAAACAAATGGAAAATCAGAACAGCAAGGCAAAAATAACGAGGAGTAAAACAAGCTTATTCACTAATTGAGAAAAAAAAGCCAAATTTAAATTTAAAATATCAAAAATTTCTCTCCACTCAAATTTTTCAACCAAAACCCCCAAATGTAGCGGAACAGAAAAGAGATGGAATCAGTTGAACTGTTAAACATTTAAAAAAAAAACTGTTCTTAACTGCTTCTTTTATCACACTACGCTAGCAGCCAGAGATCTACCGTAACAGATTTAAAAAAAAGCTAAACTGAGAAGGTAAGTGTTTTTTATCTTTTTTTCTGCCTCTCAATCTTCCTCGTTACCAATTGAATTTCTTCCAGCCTCATACGCATTATATCAGTCATAGGAAAAAAAACTACGATTACAAAAAGTTAATGCAACATTTTGCAGTCCTTGTCCCATTTTCTCCCTCAGTATTTTCTGATCACATTACACAAAGTCAATATTCTTCTTGAAAACTTTACTCACTGCGTACCGACAAATATTTGTTCAATTTGTTTATTCTTCACAGATTTTTTCTCAGGTAAACCCAAAAATGAAGCAATGATTAACACTGAAAGTTTGCAAACTTCTTGTATTACCTAGTCTTTTTAACCATCTTAATCATCGCTCGTAATCGGCATATCAATCATATACGGTATATATCAGCAGACATTACAATAGCTTGCCGATTCTGACTTACTAAAGCAACTGTTTTCAAAACAAAACAAAACTAGAACGAGAATTAAAGTGAAAGCAAAAAAATGAAAAAGAAAAGAGACGCAGAAGAAGTCTAATATGTATCAAGTGCTAATTTGTAGTCAACACTTCTACCGTTAGCACTATTATTGGTCATAGTTCGGAAGTAACACTTATTTAAATGCATAAACCATGTGAAGCACTGTTCTGCTCATGAGTAAGAGATTGAGAAAAAGATGATTTTAAAAACTCATCGTATTGAGCTGTCTGACAACAGAAGTCTACAAAAATATGAAGAATCTTTCTATTTAAATGCCAAAGAAATAATTTCTTCTGAATCCAAAGAAATAATTTCTTCTGAATCCCTAACCGTCACTACCACCACCACTGCAACCACCATCAGCAGAAGCAGTAGCCCCAGTACCATTAACACAAATAACAACTCGAATCTCAAATTGTGTCATCACTAATTGCTACGAAATCTCGCCCCTATTGGCTGCAGCTCATATTGGCACAAAATAAGAAAATTCAAGAATAAATGGAAGAAAGAGCTTGCCAATTAACAAAAAAAGTTTAAAAAAAACTGGAGACTAAAGGCAAATGTTGCACAGCACAGTGTTTCTAAACAGAAAAGCAAGTTGTCTTTTGAGAAAGCAGCAGAAAAAGAAAAGAAAAAAATTACAAGAGGATTTGTGGCAACAGTTTCTTTAATCTTCCTAACGTCTTCATCATCGGCAGCAATAGCACGAGCACCAGCAACAACAACAGAACTATCATCATCGGCAACAGCAGCGACAAAAACAACAACGACAACAACGATAACAACGACAACAGCAGTAGTAGTGGTCGTAGCAGAAGCAAAAATCACAACGACCAAAACTGTTGAACACATTTGGAAACTGTTTTGGAAACAAAAGTAATACTAATGACAACTGTCACAACATCGTCGATGAGCGATGTCGAAAACAACTAATTTAATCTGCGACAATATTATTATCATCATCAGCACAATCGTTTTCTGTATGTCCTCCTTAACACTACTGTTTTAGCTTCTAAGCCTTACTGTCTTTCAAATACTGCTTACCTTCTACCAAATCTTTTCAGAGAAAGCGCAATAGCTTATTGGTAACTTTGCTGTTTGCATGCTATTTTCACTTATTATACATTCAATGTGCTGCAAATACAGTACAAAAATAGCTACTAAGATCCTGAATGGAAAATTTTCTTGGCATATAATTTGTTTGATGTAGAAAAAGCAGAAATTTTCAGCACTTTTTATATCATGTGTACCAAAAAGATTATCTTGTTCGTTGTTCAAAATGTACATGTCGCAAAAAAAAAATAAATAAATAAAAAAATTCATTTTGTTAAATCACCTTTAACTCCCTTTTCTTAACTTCATCACAGTCAAAACATCATATCAAACATTCCTCCTACTCATTCTTTGCTCGCCCTTTTTTCTCGCTATTCTGATTGAAGCGCTAAATTTAATTTACAAAACGACAGTGAAAAAAATTTTTCCTATTCAAGTTAAGGAAAAAGTTTTTTTATTACTTATTGATGATGTTGTCGTTGTCAATGGAAGAGATAAAATAACTGAGTGAACTAATATAAGATAAATCCGAAATAAAAAAAGATATTCACAAAAAACAATTACAAACAATAAAATTCAGTTTAAAGCAGGTGTTTGGAACAGTTGCAGCAGAAAACAACAGGAATACTGCGTAACAACCAGGCTTAACAGATGGTAAACCCTACGCCATTTGATTTTGCAGAAGAAGAAGACGTTGAAGAAGCATAAAAAGACACAACCCCACAGATACTCATAAAAACAATAATTTTTTTTCTTTCCTGGCTACTAGTTTGTTAAGCGTTGCTACTTTCCTACAATATATATCTTACCATCTTCTACAGTCGACTAGCAACAACTGTCCGATTGATTTTTGTCAAATAAATAACATCTGTACGTTGAACTGGAAGATTAATCCGGAAGAAAACCTAATTCTTATCTAGTAACCCACACCGGAGCAACCGTTTGACTCACACTAAAGTTTCGAGTATACTTCTCTAGAGTTTTTTTTACCTTTTAACATTATGCATAAGTTTTTTCCTCTCCCAAAACACACACACTACACATACTTCAGAAAGTTCATCACACTGTCACTACATTCACTACTAGAACTACTGTTGACAAGTTTGAAAACATGTACAAACTAAAGCAATTGCTATTATGCAAGACTTCCAACAATTTGCTGATAATACTCTTTAAGAATGGCTGCAAGAAGGAAACAAAAAAATCTGCTAAGACACAAAAAAATTAAAAAAATCAAAAAAAAAAGGATTACATAGTTTTAGGCTGCCTTTTTCCCTTATTCAGTTCTCGTATTGACCTAGATCGGAACCAAAAGAAACACTTGAAAGAAGATATCTCTTAACGATATAACACCATACAGCATCAAAAAAACTGCACTTTTTAAAACACAATGAACAGCTGACTGAATAACTGACTAACTGACTGACTGATTGACTAAGTGACTGAATAACTGAACGGATAAATTCGTAGAGAGAAAACCAAAGGAGATGGAATAGTTCAAAAAAAAAAATTAAATGAGAAAAAAGAGAAAAGCATTCCGCAAAGAAAAAACCAAACTGTTTCTTCATTAAAACCTCAAGTCTCAAACCCTTACTGATTGCGTTTGTCTCTCCTGTTATTGTTTTTGTTTACGGAATACTTTTGTAATTTTCCACTTTTCTGCCAACTTTATAAGAAGTAAAACGGATTTAAAAAAACAGTTGAAAAAACAGTGAAGAATATACACGAACAGTCTATCACGGGATAAATTATTAAACACTAAAAGTTGGCGTTCGATTGTAAAGATAGAAAAAATCATACACATTTTCGGATACGTTGATTGAATAAAACATTTGCTGGTGGAACAGGGTATTCTGTTCAGTTACACTGTCGTTTTTTCAACGACAGCAACAGCAACAAGAAGAAAAATCCTGGTTTTTTTCTCTTTAAGTCAAAAATGAAAGTAGAAGAAACCCGACTCCACAAACAAAAATATACATATACTCCTTATTTATGTACGTATACATATTTCTTTTTCCCCCTTCTTCCGTTTCATATCTACAAACGATTATTTTCGGTTACAGCCTTCTTTTTACGATAATACCCCTCTCTTCTTTTCCATTCCCTTCCCACCAAAAAAGCAGCTACAACGTCTCAAAAAGATTATTTATTATTTTTTAATGAGGTTTACACATTTTTCGAAGGTAAAAAAACAGTAAAGTTTAAGAAAATTAAAACTGAGTTTAGACTTATTATATCCACTTATGCA